TCACTCTGTCTGCCCTCCTCCAACCTTTATGCTCAGCCATTTGGGAGAGAGAGCTGCCTGGCCTCCACTGGGGCTGGGGAAGATGTTGCCAAGTGTGCGCTTCTCACTTACCCAGCACCCTGAGCTCTAGAGTTTTGCTGCTGTGGCTCCTTTTGATGCCTTGGTGGTCTTGCACATTCACAGAGCAGCGGTAGGACCCAGAGTCTTTCTCCCGGAGGCCCTGCAGCGGCAGGGACACATTCTGGGAGGGCATGGAGTAGACCAGGGATACCCCCGGTTTGCTTGACGTGACCCCACTGATGTACGCCAACACCTGGTGTGGGACACGATGCCTCCCCGTTATTACATGTGTGCCCTGTGCCCACAGGCTCGGCTAATCCCACCCCACCCCCACTGGCAGTCTTCAAGCCTTCCTCCCCTGTACTCACCCCCTCTAACCTGTCCCAACTCCCCATCCACCCCCTGTCTCCCTAGGCTCCATCTCACTGCCCCTGGGTCCTCTTCCCCACAACAGTTCTTGATCCCCTGTGCTCGGTCTCTTCATCTCCCCCTTGGGGCATTTAGAAAGTGGTATAATGGTGAGGGATAATGTAAACAGGGGGTATTTATGAAAGAAACTCAGATTGCAGGGGTAGATCAACGAATTTTTTAAAAAAATCTTTTTATAATCTTCTTTTTCTTGAAGATGTCCCTCCTTCCCCATGTATAAACTCAGGTCCTGTGAAACCTGGATCTACCTCTGCAATCCAAATTTCTCTCATACATACCCCCTCTTTATCAAATGACCTCTAGAAAATACTTTCCAGAACCTTGGGAGGAGCCCGAGCAAATAAGGGGCTCTGAAAATGAAGTTTCATTGGCTTCTGGGTAGATCTGCCTCTGAGAAGTCTGGTATCAGGAAGGAGGGTAGGTTACGGTTGGGAAAGGAGACTGCCCTTTGTCTCTCAAAGGAGTGTGTAAAGGGGCAGTGGGACAGATTCAGGAAGAGAAGTGGCCTGTGACAGTGTCCAAAACATTAAGAAGGTGAAAATAGGAAGATGCTCAACTTTTTCAAGTTGTGTGAAACTTGCCCTAACCCTTTCCTGGTCCTCAAACCCCAATCCTCACTGTCCCTCCCCCAAAGCAAAGCAAAATGCCTTTCCACTTCCCTGTGTTTTGTGTACTGGATTCCTAGGGCAAGTCGCAGAAAAGAAAATTCCGGGCGGGGGCGGGGGGGCAGCCTCCAAGGTCAGAGCAAAAACTGAGCTGCTGAGGAGGACCTTACTTTTTCCTGAAATTCCTTCCCGGTCCCTCCTTCCCTGGCCAGTCCTCCCACTCTCACCAGCTCTTCCCCACGCTCAGCCACGGGGGTGTAGCTAGCCTCTGGTTGAGATGCGTCCCTCCCTCACCTGGTTCAGATCCTTCCCTTCTTGCTCCAAGAACCACATCACGGCGAGCAAGTCCCACGGCTGAGACGAAGATACCTGCCCTTGCAGGGTGTACCACGCCGGGAGCACTACTTCTGCTCCTTCTACTGCCTTCAACCGGGTGAGGCCAGCGGGCACGTGGAGCTCCAGCTGGGCCCGCGAGGGGGACGCTGAGGACAAGAGCGAGGAGGCGTGAGCGCGGAGGACTGGCTCCCGGCTCCGCCGGTGGACCTCGCCCAGCGCGGCGGGAAGAAAGGACGCCCCTCGCAGGGTCCCAACCTCTGTGGGCCTCGAACACTGCCCAGGGACTGCTGACCTCGCGTCCTGCTTTCATCGGAGCTTATTCTCCCTAACCTCAGCCCGTGGGTTCCTAACAGGGGATAGGGACACATTTCTGTGCATTTATTTGTATCCAGAGGAGCAGATTTCAGAGCACCAAGAAGAGGGGGCAGATTTCCAAGGCGGAGATGGGGGGTGGGGAAAGACCTCTAAGAGGAAGGGCAGGTTGAATACTTTTAATCTGCACTCTACACAGCCCGCTTGCTCCCCCAGTTTCCCCGGGCGAGAGCCAGGAGGGGGTAGCGACGCTGGTCAGGACACCGCCAGCGTTCCTCGCTCCTGCTTCTCAACCCAACGGGCGGAGGGGGTTGGGAGGCCGCCGGATTAGCGATTAACCCGCGGCTCGTTCTGAACTAACAGCTCCGAGCGAGAGACCGGAGCCGCCCCGCGCTCCCGGTGGCCGTCTGACCACAGTGCTCCCCCGCCTCCCGCTCAGGCCCGACCCAGGGCCTCCCCCGGGGAAAGCCGAGAGTTGAGGCCCAGAAAGGAGCCCTTTTGGGGTCCAGGCGATCTGGGCGAGTCCTGTGAGGTCGCAGGAAATCACGGCAGAGCTGGAACACGAACGAAGGCCTTCCCCACCCCGACAATCAAGTACAAGTCATCTGTCTGTGTGTGCTTGGCGTTCAGGAGGTGGACTGGGGTGTCGCTTTCAAGGAGAGGACAGTGGAACCAATGCTTGCGCGATGGCGTCCAGAAACATTCACTTTTTGCCCTTCAGAGAGGCAATGGAGCAGCCGAATCCCAAGCCCTTGGGAGGAATAACCTTGGGCTTGGAGCGGCCAGGCCCAAGGAGGCTGGCCACCGTAGGCCTTGGCCTCCGCGCTCTGGAGTCCAAGACGCCATCTCCGCGTGGTGACCAGGCGGCCAAGGCGCGGACAGAGGCCGCGCGCAGCCCGGGCTTGCTGCCCTCCTGGAGCCGGGCTGCAGGCCCCTAAGGGCCCCGGCGCGGAGCAGGCCAGGATGCGCGCCGCCCCCACGGCTTTCCGGCTGCGCGTCTTTACAGAGCCCCCACCCCTATTCCTTGGCCTTCGCGCCCCCCCCATCCATTTCCTGGCGGGGGTCCCTGCGGGCCGGGCGGGAAACTGGTGCCCGGTGATAAGCCAGAAGACAATGACCGGGGCGCCGCTGGACCGGAGGCGCTACAGGCGAAAACAACCTCTGCCTCAAGGAGCCCGACGCCCCCCTGGGGACCGGGGCGGACCCGGCCGGCTCGCCGGTCTCGGGAGGCCGGGACGGCGGGAGGCCTGCGGGCGGTGCCGGATCTCTCCTGGCCTTTCTGCCGCGCACACCCGAGAGGCCACAAACGGTTCCCGTCGGGAAACCTGCCTGGGGCGCGGGAGACGCGCGAGCTTCCTTCGCCGCAGACGCCCCCAGCGACCTCCCCCAGGTCCTGCATTGACCCTTTCGCTGCGAAAGGTGGGGGTGGCGGTGGTGAAAGAGATAATGATGGACTCCCTGGGGTCTGGGCAAATGCTCCCTGTCCTACGCCCCAGTCGGAAACTAGGAGCTGAAGGGGGCCCGAAGCTTCCCCGCCCTCGGGCCTGGGTGTTCGCTGCAGCAGAAGCCCCTTGTCGCTCGCGGGGTCCGTGGTGCCATAGGGCGAGGACAACGGAGTGGTTGGGTCCGAGTGAAGGACACAGGAGCAGCCCAAGGAAGGGACCCTTCTGGCCCACTCTGAGACCAGAGTGAGGGAGCCGGCAAGGGCCGAAGGAGCACAAAAAAATGGGCCCGCTCCCCGGGGCTACTATTTTTAGTCTCCCTTTCTCTGGGAAACTCCCCCCGCGGGCTTCTCACGCCCCAGGGGCAGCAGCGCAGAGCCACCGAGGAGCGCGGAGCGGACCGGCCTCCCCGAGAGCCCGGTCCAGCCGAGCCCAGCGGAGCCGAGGCCTGCCCCCAGCGCCCTGGGCCCGAGTGCCAGTTAACTCCCGAGTGGCGGGTGGGCGGTCAGCAACCCCCAGGGGCCGGCCTGGTCGGGACGCTGAGCCTGGGCTGTCCTTGAGAAAACTGAGGGCCAGAGTTAGGATAGAAAAAGGAGAAGTTGCCGGAGAGGTGCAGGCGAGGCCCAAGCAACGAACTTGGACTTTCCTCCCTTGCTTCCTAAATGCCCCAGCAGAGAGATGGGAGAGTTGGGGATAGAATGCAGAAAGGAAAGGGGCACCGAGTTAACGTTGGAAGAAGAGGGCTGAGAGGTTAACGGATCCTGGAGCAGGCCCACCAAGCCTAGAGGGACAGAAATCTGTCCAGGCTTTGGTGTGGCAGGTGGGCTCCTCTGGAGCCCTCTTTGTCTGGCGACCCTAATTACATCATGCCCCAACACCCTTGCAGCACGAATCAGGCTAAAGGGGGCAGGGGTGAGAGTTAGGTGGTCCCCATCTTAGCCCCCATCACTGTGGCTCAATTTCACTCTATGTCTCTCTGTATCTGGTGACTTCCAACCTGAGTGAAATGAGTTAAATTTGACCTTGACAAACTCACCCTTCACCCTTTTTGGGATCCTTGAAAAGAGGTGGCAAGACAGAGCCAGAGGAAGTGAAACATGCTTGTGATGGGCTTAGTTCTTGCTGGGGCTTTACTCTCCAGATGTTGCAATGGGCCATCCCCAGCTCCTGGGAGCTCCTGGAAGCCTTCAACACTCCTTAAGCACTTGCTCCAAGGAAGAGCCCTTCCTCGCTGACTCTTTGAGGAAACTCCTCTCTACTTCCTTTGTCCCTTTGGCTCTGGGAACCAATGGGGCTGGTGGACTTCATGGGGGGGGGGGTCACAATTCTGCTCCTTTAGGCATTCAAACCCCTCCCCCGTTTCCTGTGTCCCAAGTGACCTCACGGTCAAGCTTTCGGGGCACCTCCCTTTATTCCCAGGGCAGGAAGCAGGAGGGGGGGTAGAGGGAGGATCTGAACTGGGGAATTGACGTGAAGTGCATTTGTCAAGCCTGGGATCTAGGGAATTCCTGGGGGTTCTTGCATATCAGGTCGTGTGTGGGGTGGGGGCTGGAGTTAAGTCCTTAAGCTCTTTAGCCAGTGTCTCATCTAGCAGCTCAGCTCATCTGGCTCTGCGGGGTGGAGGTGGGGAGTGCTGGTGAGGAATGGTTCCCACAACTCACATAGAGGTCTACACCCAGACAGATGCCCTGACCCTCTCCCCTACCACACACAGTCCCACGCCCAAAGTGGTGGCTGTCGGTACAGAGCGGAGACAGAAGTCAACACCAGCCAGTGATGCCCTGGGTGGGGAGATGGGGGAGGGAGTGTGGGGGGAGGAGGGCAAGAGTCAGAGGCGGGAGGCCCCATCCATCCAGTTCTTTCATCAGTGCCCAAGACCACCTCCCTCAGGGTCGGATTCACCCCATGACCCATCTCAAGTCCGCTCCCGTTCAGGTTTCACTCACCGAGGGTACTCAGCCCCAGGAACAAAAACCGCAGCAAGCTGGTCGCAGGGGGCCTGGGCAGGGAAACCATGGCACTCCCTGGCCCCGACGGAGTCAGGGGCGCCGGCTCCGGGACACACCGACCGACAGGTGCCGAGGCGGCTCGGCAGCTGGGGCGGACGCGGGAGCGCGGCCACTGACACCCAGGGCGGCTCTAGCCAGAATCTGTGCGCGTGTGTCCCGCCGGCGGGGTGGGGACCGACGGGGACAGGGGGGCGGGGCGTTCGAGGGGGCGGAGAGGTCGCGGTCTTCCCGGGCGGGGCGTGCGGGTGACCCGCCACCGATGGTGGGGGCGGCTCCCGTGCTCCGACGGCCGGATCTCGCGGCCTCCACCCTGGCAGGACGCAGGGTGGGGTCGGGTAAGTCGCGGCGCCCCCACAGCCGGCCGGGGGCCAGGGGAAAAGGGAAGGGTCCTGAACTGGCACACTGGGGGGGCCATACCCTTCCCCCTACGCCGCCGGGGGGTGGGAAGGAAGACGGGGAACAGAGGGAGCTTTGGGGGACTCTCCGACGTCCAGGAGCCGCCCGCACGCTTGACACCTGAGCAGGCCGGGGCTCTGGCCCGACCACCGCTCCGAGTTTGGGGGTACCGCGTCCTCCGCCTAAGCGGGGCGGCCTTCCTGAAGGAGGAAGAGGGGAGCCGCGTTGTCCCGGAGCCACTGGGCTTCCGCAGGGTGTGGGGCGGAGCGGCGGGAGGGGGCCCGGTTCTCCGGAGCCGGGCGGGAGGTGCGGACGGGGAAGAGATGCGGCCGAGCCCGCCTCCGCCCAGCCCCGCAGGGACCCCCGCGGCCGCTCGGGGGAAGGCCCAGAGCCGCGCCAGCCGGGGCGCGCGGGGACCGTCTGCACCTGCGGGCGGCGGAGAGAGGGGAATCCCCGAAACCCAGGCCCCAGGTCACCGGGTCTTGTGCCTCACACCCCGAGCAGGGGAAGGACTGGCGCAAGGAAGCCCCAGGAGCTGAGCAGGAAACTGAGGAAACAGGAGCCCGGCTCCCAGCTCCTCGCCTCAGAAAAGAATGGTTTATGGGCCTTATGCTGACTGGGGAAGAGGCGGGCGGCTGTGGGAAGGTAGACCGGACAAAGCCCCCCGTTTCTTTATCCCCGTATCTTCGCTGCCCCCATCCGCCATCAGCCCCGCTCTGATCCTTTAATTCCCGGGACCAGATCTCGTTCGCTGTGAATTTAATTTAACCGTCCCC